CTAGGGGAATTTAAATTTTAAAGTATGTACAATGGCCGGAGTTCAATCCCCAGTTCCAAAAAAAAGAAAAAAAAAAAAAAAAAAAAAAAAAAAAAAAAGATATTTTTGTGAGTATATAACAAATAAGTGAAAAGCACACACAGAATGCTTTGTTGTTAGAAATGAAGCAGCTGCTTTTGGAACATACTACGGTGACTAAGTCTAAATAGTAATTTGATCTCATTGCTTTCTCTTTCTTTCTTTGTAGATACAGAGGAAAAACCTACAGAGCTGTGGTCAAGATCGTGCGAACCTCTGACCAGGTAGCGAACTTCTGCCGACGCGTGTGTGCCAAGCTAGAGTGCTGTCCAAATTTGTTCAGCCCGGTGCTGGTTTCTGAAAACTGCCCAGAGAACTGCTCCATCCACACCAAAACCAAATACAGTGAGTACGCGAGATGAGAAAGCAGCGGCCACGACAGGCTGCCCGCAGGGGGACGCCGTGGGGCTTCTGTCTTGTTTTTAGCCTTTGGGGTGGTTTCTCATACAGATTGCTCTGGAAAGTTCTGTAAGATTTTCTGTGATAGATCCCTGCAAGTTTTTAAGGCATAAGGAAAGGATGATTCCCAGTAGGATGTGTTGTCATTGGTAGGCTGCAGAAGGGGAGAGACACGAATGTCATAAGCTCACTTCAGGAGTTCCCATGGTTCTGCTGATCTAAAAGCAGCACTATGGCTAGGTGAAGGGCCTGATAAAATGGGTATGGTGATGCAGTAGCTGGAAACCAGAATTGTCATTAGCTTGCTTTCTACTGCGGAGTTGTAACGACTCCTCAGTTGCTTTTCTTGCTGCATGCTCGCCACAGCTTCTCCCCTGCGTAGGTGCAGCCCTCAGAATGCTGGAGGGCTCTGCAGTAGCACACATCCCTTTATTTGGTCCCAGAGGCCTTGGTTTTCCCACTGCAAGGCATGACCCAGCAGTGGCCCATTCTGCCAGCTGTTAGCATGCGCCACTTGCACCACTTCTGCCCCATCCCATGTAGACACCCTGCCTTGGGCTGACTCTCTCCGCACTTCCTGTGCTCTTACCACATTCTTCTCCTTCCGGGTAGCTACCCCACGTGCTCTACCTCCAGTATCTCAAGCTCTGAAACCTGATTCACAACATCAGATCTTCCTACACCTTCCTCAGTTGTCTTATCCCGGGGTGATGACCTGGAAGTTGGCTCTGCTGCCCCATGTTCCAGCCTCATGGCTGATGCTCTGAGCCCACTGGTGTTTATCAGCTGGCATGCCGAAAAAGAAGCCAGATGCACTGAGACCAGTGTTAGAGCATGACTTCCCTTCTGTTTTGTCTGTTTCTTTCTGTATAGACACACACACCCAATCCCACTTTCCATGTCCATGCCCACTAAAGGGTAGCTCCTCTCTCTGTCAGTTGTTTCCCATTTCAGCTGTCACACGTGGCAGGTTCTCAGATGAGAACCACGGGTATGTATATGTCACCTGCTTCCCGACGAACTCCTTTCTTCATCACCTTTGGCCATGGCAGGAATTCCTGGTCCCCAGCTGCTCCTGTGTAGAAAACAACTTGACCGACAGCTAAGGTTCATCTTGCAGCTTGGCTTCCTTCCTTGTACTTCTGGGACAAAGGCAGAGAGAAGTAACAGGCTGCTGATATCTCAATTTCGGGCAGGTGAAAGGAACTTAGAGATTATCCTGAATCTGGGTTTATAAGACTTAAACACCCTAAGATCTTGTCAGTGACCTTAGAGCAGATGTTGCTACCACTGAACTGGACTCCACTGGGAGGATAACAAAAGCTGTTCTGGTGGACTCTGGAAAAGTCAGGTCCAGGGCCACCATCTAATGCTAAGTCTCAGAAATTGCCAAGCTTTGACCGCATCAGTGAACCCATTGCTGATGCCTGGCTGCCAGTTTCTAAAGCCCAGACCATGTCACCTCTGCTGTGCCTGCTGGGCCAAGAAGCAAAGCTTAGTTGCTTTTGCCTATGGCTGGAGGTGCCAGTGAAGCAGCATCCATCCCACAGCCATGTGCTCCTGCTCATCCTCGAGCATTGTGCTAGGACAACTGTATCTGGACAGCTGTCCCAAGCTCTGCCACCACCCTGAGTGCTGCTGAAAGAGAGTCAGGGGCTTACTGTGAGCGCCAGGACTACATGCTCCCTGTGAACCCAGCACAAGTGAGAGATGTGGGGAATAGGGACGTCTGGGCTGGAAAGAAAGCTGTGACACCTACTCCCGTGGCCGCATCGAGGGCCGGGAGGGTCAGGGGCCTTATCTGTGTGGCAAGGCCTGTGCTTTGGCTGGGTGGGGTGTGTGAGATGGCATTTCCCTGCACCATGGAGGCAGCCTCCATAACCAGGGAGCTGCACATTTTGACAGATCTTGGTTTTATCTTGGTTTTTGTTCTTGTTTCTGTTTCTGTTTCGGCTCTCTTGATCCATGGGTAAGGATTCCTCAGCTATGTTTCTTTCAAGGGATGGTGGCATCCCAATGGGGCAGTTAAGCTTTCAGGTAGTGAGTAAACCTTCTTGCTTATGGTAGTAACTGAATCCTGGGTCCCTATTAGTACCTTAATTAGTTGATTCTACATTTAACTTATAAAAATATTAATCATCTTTAAAAATTGGTAATTTTCAGACTAGTACTTTAAATGTTGATAAATACATATATTCCTACTGTGAGATTCAGATGTAGTGAGTTTCCCCGAGTAAGAAGACTGTAGTGTTTACCTGTGGCATTACAGAAAGAATGCTGTCTGAATGTGAATCTGGCCATTCTGCTAGGAATCTTGGTTGTCTTTGTCTTGGTCAGATCGAGAGTGGGAGATGCCGTCATGGCCCAGTCAATATACCTGGTGTGCCCTGGACCGGCAGTTCTAGTTCCGATTTGGGCGTAGGTGTCAGCACACTCCAGGGGAAGCAACTGCCGCCTCCAGATGCAGTGTTTGGGGTCAGGAAAGGGAGAAGATGAGCTTCCAGAAGGACTGTTGGCACATTTGACGCCCTTTCCCTGGTTGGGCTGCCACAGTGGAATGCCCTAAAGGCCAAGTGGCTTAATGAACAGACACTTGTTGCCCATAGCTCTGTGGGCTGCAGTCTAAGGTGTCAGCAAGTTTGGTTTCTGGGGTGTTCCCTGCTCGCAGACTCCTGCCTCCTGCTGTGTCCTCATGTGGGGTCTTCGTTGCTTGCACACATCCTGGGGTCTCGTCCCATAAGGACACAGTCCTGTTGGGTTAGGGACCCACCCTCACAGTCTTAGTCAACATTAATTACCTCTTGCTAGACCTTTCTCCTGTTATACTGAGGGTAGAATTAGGCCTTACATGTGGATACTGGAGCAACAAGAAGTCCCTAACACCTTCTGGCCTTGAGGCATCAGAGAAATGCTTACTTTGAGCAGCTGTTTTCTCAGACCAAGTTTCTAAGATACAAACAAAATGTCCAAGATACATTGTCCAAGATGAAACAACTCGCTTTGTTCCCTCCTTTGTCTTCCCCTCCTGTCCTCTACCTTTGTCCACGTATGTGTGTATAGCCTAAATAGTTTTAAATTATCTTTCTCTTGATAGCTTATTATTATGGAAAGAGAAAAAAGATCATTAAACCCCCAATTGGAGAGAGTAACATTGAAAGTGGACATCCTAAACCATCCAGAAGAAGAAAACGACGAAGATCCATCTTTGTACAAAAGAAACGGAGGTCATCCGCTGTGGACTTCGCTGCAGGCTCTGGGGAGGTAGGTTCTGCTCCACAGCATGTCCCAGTATTTGGCTTTGACTGTCAGCCCTTGCAGCAAGGGGCTGCTGCACTGGTGAGGTCTGCTTGCATAATGCTTCAAAACATGAAATAAGGACAAGAAGCCCTTCCTCCTATGGATATCACATGTCTAGCTGCTTTGGCTCAGAAAGGGGGGCACTAGGACTATGGTGGGGACCATCAGCTGAGTCTTCAGAGGGCACCTAGGGCAAGCTCTGGAGGGAAAGGAGCTGTGATCAGAGCCTCTGTGTGGCTAGGGTGCAGACCAGGCCACCTGTTGCATCCATGTGTCCCTTTCTGGCCATCTCCTCCAACAGTGCATCTCTTTTCTTTCCAGGAAAGTGAAGAGGAGGACGCAGATGCCTTGGATGATGACACTGCTAGTGAGGAGACTGGCTCTGAGCTCCGAGATGACCAGATAGACATCTCCTCAGCAGAAGTGCCCTCAGCACGGCCCCGGAGGGCTGTTACTCTGCGGAACAGCTCAGAGCCCCCTCGCCGGGCGCCCGTGGAGAGGGCACGAAGGGGCCGTCCGGTGCCCGCTACTCCCTCTGCTGAGGATGGGGACAAGGGTCCACCTGCCAAGCCTGAAGGCCCAGAGGTGAGCTTGCGGTGGAGAGTGTGCCAGTCCTCCTTATGAAAACCATGAAACCAGTGTGGTGGGGCACACCAGTAATCCCCAAACTCCAGGAGGTTGAGGCAGAAGACCACAAGTTCAAGCCCAGCCTGGACAACTAAGTGATTTAGTAAGACTGTGTTTTAATATGAAAAAAAAAGAAAAAGAAATGGCTGGGGGTGTAGCTTAATACAAAATCTGAGTCAATCCCCAGTGCCACAGGAGAAAACCAAAGGAGAACATGGATGATAGTCTGGGGCAAGGTTTTAGGAAAACCTCTTGGAAGTGTGTGAGGAGTAGCAGCTGCCCCTGGGAAGCTCCTCAGTGTGAGACAAAAGCCATTGACCTCTGCTGGTAGCAGAGCAGGTCCTGCACTTGAGAACGGCATCCTGAGGGCTGGGACAGGATCTTTATTGGGTAGCATCGGTGCCACCAGGGCTTTTTGTTGGGAGGGCAGACAAACCAAGTCCTCCAGGTCTCTCTGAACCCCAGGCTTCCAGCATTTCATCTCCAGTCTCCTATTTCTCCCCTTACATTTTGTTTTCTCTTTCCGTATGGGGCATCTCTGTAAGTAGGACACCACTGTGCCGCACTTCCCCTAAACCCTCAGATGGCAGATAATCCCCCGAAAAGCTGTTTGGCACCGTCATCGCAGAACCCAGCGACAGATCCAGTTGGAGTCAATCAGTAGGCCCATGCTTTTCCAAACTGGGAATTTAAAATTGGCCACTGCTGAGCCTTTTATTAACTGCTAAGCCACATGCATTGCTGTGGCTGAGGAGAGGACTTAGCGATACAGTTGCTACAAGACACTCCAGAGACTGAGTTACTTTGACTTGTTCAGGTGGCAGAGGTGGTGGCTCTGGTCTAATGCAATGCCTAGGGCCTGAAGGATGTAGAAAGAATCCAGCTGACCACACAGCACACAGTGACTGTCCCTGTTCACCTTCCCCTGCAGGACATGAAACAGGAGGACGAGGAAAGGCTCGTCCTGGAGAGCAACCCACTGGAGTGGACAGTCACCGACGTGGTACGGTTCATTAAGTTGACAGACTGTGCCCCCTTGGCCAAGATCTTCCAGGAGCAGGTACGTGCCTCACAGTGTAGCCCTTGGAGGCTCCAGATTTTGCAGGAACCTCCTGTCTTTTCTTGGCGTCTGCATCAGTGCTCGGAGTCAGAATCCCATCTTCAGGTGACTGCTGAGCAGGTGTGGTATAACTGACTCTCTGCTGGACAGAACCCCCTTAGAACCTTGTTGTCACTTCCCACTGGCCTCACCAACATTGTGGGGGTGAGGTTCTTCCCACAGTACTGTAGTGACTGCCGGGTGAGGGGAGGGTATCCGGGTTTCACCCTCAGTCTGCACTGACCCACAGTGAGGGTTCACTCTTTATTGTCAGGCAGGCAAAGCAAAATCCAAGCTCTTGCAGAAGCTAGTTGTATAAACCTGTAATGTCAGTGCTTTGAGAGGCTAGGACAAAAGAATCAAGTGTTCTAGTCCAGCAGGGGCAACTTAGAGACCTATTGAGACCCTGTCTCAAAAATAAAAAAGGGCCAGGGATGTAGCTCTGTGAAGGCCCTGGATTCAATACCCAATATAGGAAACAGAAGGAAAGAAATGAAAAGAGAGAAATGATAAAAGAGAAAAAGGACATCTCAGGCCCTGGCTTGGCCTTCTTGGGGTGCTGCCTTATTGGGGGACTACAGCCTGGCTGAGCTGTTTGCTGGGCCTTAGATCTAGTGCGGGCAGGGCCAGACCACATTTCCCTGCCAGTGGAGCTGCTGGTGTCTGTAGGCTTTTTGTCTTACTGCACTGTCCCTTCACTAGGCTATAAAATGCTGGTGTTTAGTGGGCCCTCTTGTCAGTGCCTGTTGGAAAATCCACCAGGTTCTTCTGCTCTAAGTCTTTATTATGTGATTCACGCAACCACTGCAGAAATAGGTAAGTAGTTCTACACCATGTTATTAGCTCAAGACCCATGTTCCCTAGCTGGTATGCCCTTTGTGCTCCACCCTTCACAGTCTTCTGATTGGTATATAGATAATATCAAGTTGTTTTAGTTCTGCCTTTTGGGAGAAGGAGGAAAAAATGTGTCTGCTGCACCTGAACTGAGTGGCTACTCTCTGTTCACTGTATTTATTTAGTGCTGATTAAATTATTATTTTCTTACTGTCTTCATTTCTTTCATCATGAGATAGCGAAAGCCTATGGTCCTGTGACAGGCGTAAAAATGACTGATGTAATCTGTACCTAAGGAAGTTTCTAACCTAGCAGAGAAAATAACTATAGTTAATTAGCTAAAACATAAGACATGAATGATGTGCTATGGGAAAGTTTTCTTTTATATTTTCTCCTAAATTAATAAGAGAAGAAATTGCCATTCTACATGAAACGACCACATGCCATTCTTCACCGGCCTTGTCTAAAAAGGTCAAGGTTAAGCCTGTGGTTCTTACGCATGCGCCATTTTCTTACAGTGTCCCACAGTGTAAAAAACACTCTTTTAAGACCTCATATTTTATTTTTTTAAATTTTTATTCATTTTAATGAGAAAAAAAGATAAAATAGCAATGAAACAGTTTCAAAACAGGTTAGTAGGAAAGATGTCATATTTTAAAAAATGATATTTGCCATACAATAAAGATATGTTTATCCATTCTGTATTTCAATTTAACAAACCAAAAGCCAAGGAAGAGAATTTTTTAAGCATTAACTAAGAAGGAAAAAGAAGGTCTCTGGTTTCCCATGCACCCAGGGAATTTTTCACTGTTCTCTGAGTCAGTGCAGTACTGAGTTAGTCATACAAAGTGGCCTAGTACAGCCCCCGAGGAGAGTGCTGTAGCTCACAGCAAGCTCTCTCGTCCTGCATCCAGGGAAATCCGCAGGTGACGTGATCATCTGATCCACCCTGAAACCCTTTGAGGACACGCATAAGTTTGTGCTGTAGGAGTGAACAGGGCCTGGCAGACTGTCACCTCCTTGCTTTCTGGGCAACGCAGGAAGATAAGTCGGGGAAGGCCCTTTTTGACCTAAAATAGCTGGACAGTGACCTTGTCTCTTCTTTATAACACACAAACAAGAAAGAGAGAGTTACAAGTCGTGTTAGAGCTGATGTTGATACTGGGCTTGTTGATAAGCCACTCTGCAGTCTTGAAAACAAAAATACAGCAGGAGGTTGAAATCCCTTGGAAAATGTTGTCTAACACCATATTTTCCTTACCTACTGTTTGTAGGGCTGCCGCAAAAAAAAAAAAAAAAAAAAGCATTTGCCATAAAAAGCATTGTATTCAAATATAGGACAAATGGTGATTACATGGCTTAAATATGCCAGTGTGTATCTGTTCATTCAAACATACAGATGAGCACCTGTCAAATGCCTTACAATATCCAAAAAAGGAGTCCTGGAACATAGTTCTGTACATTGTTTTTGTTTTTATTTTGTTTTAGGCTCAAAATCTGTTTTAAGTAAGAAATAGTTCTCAGTGGAGCCACAACAAAGAGCACAGATTTTCTCATCCTTAGTTTGCAAGTGACAGTGAATGAGAGGTCACCACATTACCATGTACAAATTCTCAGTCCGAGAAAGTGAAGCGGAGCTCATTCAGGGAAAGCACTAATATACTCCTTACACAAAGTCCTGCTTTGTTGTACTCCTAAGCCCAGTTTTGAACAATGCCTCAGAATATTTCAAAGAAATGGGATTTCCTGGCATGCTCCCAAGCGTCCAGTGAAGTCATGAGTAGGGGGCCTCTCTCCATCTGTAGTTGAAAGCTTGGTCCATCTTTAGGACTTTTCTTACGTGAGAGAAAAATAGGCATTAGTTGATCAAGAGTCTTAATCCCATCTAATTTTACATTTCACCTTAGGCAGCTTCACCTGTTGAAATAAAGAGCTCCTGCCCGCTGGGCCGTCTGCAGTGGGCGGGCACTCAAGTCCTCTCCTGTTCCATCAGACCTTTAATTACTCAGTTTAACTGATTTGTTCCGTCATCTTTCAGTCTGAATGCTGTGGCTTTGATTTGGCGTGGCCTCCAGTGAGTCCCTGCAGCGCTTGTCTGAGCTTCTGGTTGAACCAGAAGGAACCTGCAGTCTTTATCCACCTGCTTGTACAAGGGATCACAGTGCACCCAGGATGATAGCTGTGTGTGTTCACACCTCTGGGTGCTATCAGTTCAGAGACTGTTATAATCACCAGGAACATTTGCAGAAATTATAAGCTTCTCATTACCAGTGTATATGCCTTTTATTTCTGAAATGCTGTAGCAAGCTTTTTAAAAATCTATACTCTATAATTTCATGTTGCAAACGTGTACATTATGCAGTAAAAACTACTCTAAATTAAAAAAGTCCCACAAGACTGTAAATAAAATTGGCCAATTCATCCATCTTTTGTGAATCAGTCTGCTTTTGTATTATAAGCCAACTGCCCGAATTAGTAACTTAATAAAAATTCTCATTGTAGTTTCCAGGTTTATTTTTGATTGAGACTATTCCCTCCTCTTTTTACTTCTATAAACCTGGATACTCCTGTTAGGGGACTGCCAAATCCTAAATGGAACTCTTATTATCAAAAAAAATACAATATTGGCATGTGTCAAGTATAAATTCCATGTTATGCATTTTACATTTCATTTTTTAAAAAATCCATAGTCTGTTTATGGTGATTGTTTTTAACAAAAGAGGTCCACCTGCAAGCCTTAGCTCTGTGGGACCATGTTTAGAAAAATGAAGTCAGCTGAGAGGGCTGGTGTGTTACTCACATAATCCTTGAAGAAAGAAAGGACCTTTCAGCCCTAAACAGGGGCTCCCTCTCGCAGGGCGCTGGTGTAAGCTGGACATGCTTTGGCCAAGTGTCGTTTCTGTTCACACTGTCTCCCTCTTTGCCTGTTGTGAGGTGAAACAAGTGTAGGTGGCACACAGTGGACAGCATGGGAGCACGATACAGGGCTAGCTGTCGCTGTAGATCCCCCTAGTCTTTCTATGCAACAACATCTGACAGCCAAGTGGCTCAGCCTGACTGCTTCCAGAAGGCATGGAACAGAGGCATGATTTTATTCTTGGGAGCGTGATCTTCTCACAGTGGTCATCCCCGGGAGTTCTGGCTTCTATCACTTAGGGAGGGTGGAAAACGGGTAGTGAGCCCAGAGATGGTGGGAGCTTAGCCATTGCAGGCCGAGCTCCATTTTTAACCACTTTCCCCCTTTGGCTATCAGGACTAACTTTTGACTAACTCTTCCTATGGGAAAAGCAGGCTAGAGGATCTCTATATTTAATGAAAAATTTAACTTCAGACTCACCTCCTCTTGCAGCCTTCATCTTCCTACAGATAGGAGTTTCTCTGCAAACAAAACTCAGCTCTTGCTTTTTCTTTTGGACTTCGTCCCAGGTGTGCTAGGGCCCAGGCAGGGGATGTAGGTGAGCTGGCTCCACCTGAAGTGTAAGGACGTGACCTTCATGTGCTTCTGCTCTGGGCTGCCTGCACTGGGAGTTCAGTCTACAGGAAGTGCGGACAGTGCCCCATGCCCCATCTGCAGGGACCCAGCAGAGAACCCTTTGCAGGAACGGTTCACACCCCTGCTGTTGGCTGAGCAGGAAGAATCTGGGCTGAGGGCTACTTCCCATTTTCTTTTTTTGGAGAAGTGAGGATAGCATGTGTGGCCACGTGCTGGGGCCTAGGCTGGCGGGGGCTCTGATCTGAGGTCAGAGAATGCCATGGCCAGGTCCCTGATCATCACTGTCACATGCCTCCCCTCTAGCCTGTGTAGCTCTGCCACCCCACCTAGTGCTTCAACCTCAGAGGCTGCCTCCACCCCTGTGAGCACACAGCCTGGCAGGCAGAGTAGCCCACCCCTGCCAAGGAAGAGGGCAAGGAACAGTGTTTCTTTGATAAGTGCTGTTAGTGCTCCCCAGTATCTTTTTTTGCAAGCTTATTATGGGATCCATTTTTCAATATTTTCCACTTTCATTTCAAGGTTTTCTTTTGAAGCCATTATAACCAAAAACTGGGATAGGTTTGACTTGCATAATTTTCAAAATGTACACACATGTACCTATCATTTATCTCGTTATTTTTTACAATATGTTTGCTAACATGGTTTTACACAACTCAGATTAAATTCGATAGTTATCCTATTACTCGCATGCCTTTGTTAGCTTGTTAGCTCTTTTTAACACCTTCTATCCAATGCCATTTTAAAGTTTCCAGTTAAAGCTTATTTTAAGATTGCTAAGCTGGCCTGTGATAGACACGCCTGTGCCTTGGTGAAAGTGCTCAGCGCCCCCGAGCCCAGTCTAAGTAATAATTCTTACCCAGTTTCATAAACAGAAGGTTCAAATACGTGCATTGTAATAGAGCTCTCTACGTTGGAAACCCCAGTCCTACGAAATCTGAGGATGCTCACTGATGCTCTGCTTGTAGTGTTGCTGGCTTGCACGCTTCTTGCAAGCCTCCCAGTTTCCCTATCCTATTCTTGCTCAGCATCACGCCACCCAGGATCTGAGTGCACACTTATGGGCTTGCCTTGTGCCTGCTAATGAGGGGAAAAGACTTTCTGATGATCAGCTTTTCTGAATCAAGATAGGATTACTAATTGATAAGGCCCTTTATTTCTTTATGCCCAATTATATATAAAACTTCTCATTTCAACAAGAAGATAGGCTGACCTCTGAGTGCAAGGTGCTTTATTAAAAGCTACCTGGAAACACAGATGGCAAAGAGCCCACATCCTAAGTGCTTACACTTGACTGGGGCCTGCAGACAAACGCACACTCTGCAGCTGCACAGGAGAGAACAGAGCAGTGGTGTCGCAGGCAGAAGAGAAGGCGTAGTTGTACGCAGAGAAAATTGGGAAGAAACAGTACTGAACTTAGCCACGAAAGTTGTTGCCAATTACAGCAGGCCTGGGAATCCCTCTTCCATTCCACAAAAGCAGAGGCCAGTTTTCTGTGTGGATTGTTAAATATGAAGTGTGTTTGGAATGGAGGCTCCTGGAGTGGGCAGTGGCTGGGAGGTTGGAAGGTGACCACAGGAGCAGGGCCATGGTGCTGACAGAGTGATTGCATGGGCTACCCCACGCCTTTCTCCAGCAGTATCTGGGGATCCATATCCTGGGGAAAAGAGTATATTCTCTTTCCCAGATTTGGAAAACAATTAGGCAGTTATAGCACTTAATGCCAATGTTTCAGGCATATTTTATGTGATTACATCCAGGAAGTATTTTTGTATTTTTTGTTCCTCCTGGACACCTCATGGTCATGCTATGTGCTTGACAGTGACAGTCACTGTGATCACTTCTATACAGTTAATTACAGGACTTCCATTATCTAGCACATTTATCCCAGTATGTAAGTACTTCATGTTTGGGAATAGTTTTTTTTTTAAATTTTTATTTACTTATTTATTTATTTATTAAAAAGAATTTGGTACAGAGTTTCACTGTGTAGCTGGGGCTTATAGTGATCCTCCTGTTTTCAGCTTCCCCAGCACTGGGATTACAGGTGTGCAGCACCATGCCAGGACTCGGTGGCCAGCTCTGCTCACTTGGGAGCAGGGCCAGCGCGGCATGTGGTGCCAAGGGATCAAACCTTAGTTTATTGAAGTGAGCCAAACTCTCCATCTTCCTGAAGCCAACATGTCCCTGTGTTTGATTTAAGGTGCTGTAGCATCCCCAGGATAATTGCTTTGGTTATCTGGGAAGGAATCAGTGGTCTTTACAGTTCTAGAAGCTCTACATTTATGCTTAAGGTCTATACTACCAAGGTCACCCAGCTGTGGACAAAACCCCCAGAATTTTTTATGAAAGACTGACAGTGAGGTGGCTGTGTTCCAGTTTCTATCTGGAGATCTAGATGTGAACTTTTATTTTGAACATACATATACAGATGCATACACATGCACCTGTCTGTGCACTTGAATTAGCCCTCAGTCTCCTCCTCTCTTCCCATGTAAGAGTCACATGAAAGCAGAGGGGCTGGATGGAGCTTAGGCCGAGCCTTCAAGGCCTCCTCCTTGGTCCTCTGTCAGCAAACACTAGTGTGTGCACTGCAGCTCTCTCGATGGCAGCACTCTGCCCAGGAGCCTGTCACAGCAACTCTGATTGATCTGTTTATTTTCCAGTTTGATAAGGTCACATGAGTCTTTGTTGAGACGTGGCTCAGAGTTCCATCCCTCATAGCTGGTGCTCATCTGTAATTTAAAAGTAATGAATTGTAAGTGCTTATGCATTTGCGCAAACATTAAGTAAATACTTAATTTTTATTGCTGCTGAGTTTATTAGGCCAGACTGGCCTTTGAATCTGATCAGATAATAAATTACGTTGTCTCAACATCAGTCCTTTGAACTTGATCAGGTGATAAATCATTCTTACTCTTGACGCCAGTGTTCACAAGGCTAACATTTGCTTTAGATATTTGTAAGACAGCTAAATAAGCCATTAGTTAAGAAAGCTCCTCGTGTGAAATTCAGTGACAAATGATGTCTGAAACACTTTCTTGTGTGCTGTCAAGTAGCTGTTTAGTCCTTGTGACTTAGGGCTGCTCTGGCTGTAAAACTTCCTGAGTGGCAGAAGCTGTGCCATGGTGAGTTGAATTTATGCTGCTGTGCTATCACTGATCTTTATCATTACGTTGATCCTTCCTACAGTCTATTTGGGCTGCTGTTTCCTGTGGAATATAGCACAATGAAAGACATCCATATGAGTAAATCAGGTTATTACAGGAAGCAAGCTAGTGAAGAGACAGAAGTGCAGTAGAATGCTCACGGGCCTTGGGGATAAGTCTTTATCCCCTTCTTCCAGGAGCAAATTCAACATAATGGTCATTTAATGACTGTCTCTCTGGTATGGGCTTCGGGTTAGCTGTACTCCTAGAAGGGTTAGCACCTCACTCTTGGCAGTGTAAGCATGGAAATGTAAGTGGGGTGTGTGTGTGTGTGTGTGTGTGTGTGTGTGTGTGTGTGTGTGCGCACGCATGCGTGCTCACCATGGCAGTTGCCTTCATTTTGCTGCTGGTTTTAGGACTCCTTAGGTTTCTTCCCCAAGTCCTGTCTGTAGGAGACAAATTTTGTGTGTTCCTCTTCTGAGAGTTCTTTATATTGCCTTCATTTCTGAACCACAGCTTTTCTGGGTGCAGTGCTCGGTTGGTAAGCTGTTTATTCTTCCATAACTTTGACTGTGTCATTAAATTCCCTCCAGGCCCATACATTTCTGCTGAGAAATGGTACAGTAGGGTAAAGGGGGTTCGCTTAAATGTGACTTGGCACTTTTCTTTCACTGTTTTTGCAATTTTGTATTTTGAGGGTTTTTTGTTTTTTGTTTTTTTTTGGCTTGGTTTTTGGTACCAGGAATAGAACTCGGGACGTTGTGCTTGCTAGGTAGGTGCTGTGCCATGAGCTGGCTCGCTGGCACTCAGCTTGGACCTCGGACAGATTACTGCAATATAGCCCTTGGAGATCTTCTGGGTCTCCTGGACCTAGACATCCATATTTTGACCCAAACTTGGGAAGTCTTCAGCCGGTATTTCTCAAGCAGATTTTTCTATGTGTTTTCCCTTCTCTTCTTCTAGAAGGCCCATTCTTTGAATATTCTTTGTTCATTGGTGTCCCTTAAGTTTTGGTGGCTTTCTTTTCTCTTTCTTTCTTTCTTTCTTCTTTCTTTCTTTCTTTCTTTTTGTGGAAATGGGAATTGAACTTTTTGTTTTTTAAAGAATACAAAATAGGTTTTTTTAAAAAATCAAAACAGCACAAAACTTCCTTAAACAAAGTAATAGGAATTCAACAATGCTTTTTTTGTTTTTCATCTGAGATTATCTAAAAACATTTGCCTTCAGATTCAGAAGTTCCTTCTGCTTGATCTGATGTGTTAATAGTACTGTCCTCTGTATTACAGTTCTTCAGCTTCAGTATTTCTCTTTAGTTCTTTTTTATGATTTCTGTCACTGACTGATTTTCTCATTTGTGTATGAGTTGTTTTCATAATTTCATTGAATTGTCTGTATGTGTCTCTCATTTCTTTGAGTTTCATTAGAACTACTCTTTTTCAAGCAGTTCTTGAATTTCTTTCTTTTGGAGTTGTATTTCTAGTGTTCCTATGTTCCTTTGGAGCCATCATTTGACTTTGTTTTTTCATAGTTTTTGTGTCCCTTTGTCAATGCATGTGCATCGTAAACCCATTCTGTAGATCCATTCTACAGATGCACACATGAAGCTGCCAGTGTTATAGCATTTCTGCAGTAAAGGCTTCCTCCCAAAGACATGGCTTCATGTGTCAGATTGGCATACTCTATTGGCTTCACTTCCAGTTAGACCCCTTAGTGTAATCTCCATGTAGCTTCTTCAGCTATAAATAATCACCCTGTGTATAATATAATAATAATAATACCCTGTGAGGGTATAGGAGCATAAAATGTGTCCATCTCCACATGTGTATAGCAAAATGGGGAAATTCAAGTCACCCAGGCAGGTGTGACACACATAGTGGTGTGTGTGTGTGTGTGTGTGTGTGTGTGTGTGTGTGTGGTGTTTTCCTCTATGGAAAAGCATGCTGGGTAGTTGGCATATATGTCTTTAGCGTCTTCTCACACCTCCTGATTATGAAATGTCAGGCATCGGCTAGAAAGAGCGAGCGCTTTTACTTTTAGTAGCAAGCTCTTTACTGGTGGTCACATTAGCATAGGAAGCACCTGGCTTGGTGGGGAGAGGTTGCTCTCCCAGGAAGAGACAGTAAGCTTGGAAAATGAACCTGGTTACACCCCACTTGGTCCAGCCCTTGGTACCTACCACAGTAGGCTAGTCCTGTGGAGTTTAGAATAGCCAAAATGTTCTTGGCAAAGAAGCTTTTATTATCATGAAGGCTAGACAGTCATCCAGCCAAGTTTGGTATCTTTGTCAGCCCTCTCCCAAAAAAACAGCGCCCCTGGCACAGAAATGGTCCCAAGGTGCAGGTGTGTGATGCATGTGTTCCCCAGGTGTGCACTGCCTCTTCTCTAATCTGGCTATATCTTTGGCAGGACATTGATGGCCAGGCGCTCCTCCTGCTGACTCTTCCTACTGTGCAGGAGTGCATGGAACTGAAGCTGGGACCCGCCATCAAGCTGTGTCATCAGATTGAGAGAGTTAAAGTGGCTTTCTATGCCCAGTACGCCAACTGACCCTCTCCAAAAGTGGCCCATTGCCTTTGCAGTTTAATATTTGTGAAGGGTTTCAGGACTGATATTTTTATTTTTCTGGGATATGTGAAATAGTGCATCCACTATGTATCACCAGAAAACCAGAAGCCAAGGACCTCGTTCATTCACCAGCCTGTTTGATGTTTCCATCTTTTTAAAGCACAGTGAAGCACCACAGCCATGACTTCAGGGGAGTGGATTACAGTCCTGCATCAGACTCTGCCAGGCATAGGAAGAGCTTCTTCTTATGCCCACAGTTCGCCTTTCTCCCACCCTAAACCAGGCAGCTTCCTTTGAGTAAGGTTTCTTAAACTGAGGCCCACATTCTCTTAGAACTAAGTTGGGCAAAGTTGACGTCCTCGGAAATATGACCAAGAAAGATACATGATCCCTTGCTGGTATTTTTTGCTATGCTCCTTCTCAGGCATATTTGTAGATGTGCCTCACCCATGGACACATGTGTATCTCTTTGGTTGGATCTTGGTGGCAGCTCCTTTCTCCGATGCAAGTCATGTTTGAGGGTATCATTATAAAACACTGTGGTGAACCTTTGTCCTCAGAGGTGCCTTTCAGGAAGAATGGGGAACCTTGGAAGCTGGCACCAGGAAGTAATGAGACAATGGTTCCCAAGTAACTGAAGTTGGAGCACCTATGGAGATTCTTCTACTAAAAAACCACAGTATCCTAATTTAATTGTAACCAGATCAAGGAGTAACTACTACAGGGAAATATCGACTTGGAAGAAGCGGTTCATCAGTTAGCCACATCTCCTTAGCAGGATCATTGCAGCATGTAGCTGCAAACTAGTCTGTGCATCCCTTCTGCTCCCCTTGGCCTGGCCTAGATACACGTGTCCAGCCCGCATCAGCAGGCAGGGCCCTGGCCAAGTGCAGCAGAGCGTGTCCCGGCACTGCAGTGAGCTGCTTCTCATTGTGGCCTCGCTCATGCCCAGCCTGTGATCTCGGGCACCTTTCATCACTGCACCTCAGCCCCGTGAAAGGATGGGCATAAGCTTTTTGCAGTGTAGCAGCAGGCATCTGTCTCCCTTTGCCTCCTTCTCACCTATGCTGGAAGGAAAGTTCAGGTTGACCAAAAGGAGAAAAAGAAAAGAGAAAGAGAGAGAGAGCGAAACAAAAAGAAGCATCCAGCGAGTCCTGCAGCTGACAGAATGTGTGCGGTTGCTTGTGAAGTCCCTTAGGCACCAGTGTCAAATCAGCTAAGATACCTGCAGGCAGATCCGTGGCTTTAAGAAGTGGTGGCCTTTGATGCCCTGCACTTCACCTGCGTGCTTCCTGAGGGGTTCAGCCTGTCCATGCAAACCCAGAAGGACCGTTCTACTTGGTGGTTGCCTCGCTGCCTTTTTTAAATGGACACAAGGACACCAAGCATTTACTTTGTTCTGAAGTGGACACTCAGAGACACCTTACACCTGGGCTTTTTGTTGTTCTTTGTTTTGTATAATTAGGTTGATCTTTTTCTTTCATTAGAGTTTCAGTCTTTCCAGTGACACGGTGTGATGGGTTTATTAGCTGTTCCTGTGTGTTATTTATGCCAAGCTTAACATTCTGTAATAGCTGCAGGTGAACATGAAAAACAGATGTTTTGTGGTGGGAACTTTATAGTCTTCCCCACAGCAGATTTCTGTAGTCTGAGGGAATGAATCTGACTGGGCACCTTGATGGGAGGCGCTTGTCCTGTGTGATGTGAGGATAGGAATGTCCTGACAACTCATGGTTGGCCTGCAGTTATTTAACTCCTGTCCAACCTAAAATGTGACTTTCTTACCTCCCTCTCCCTGCCTTCTAGCCATATGCTTTTGGCCTTAAATGCTTAGTCCTGTGGCACTAACTTGCCCAACATCAGAAAGCATACCCATTTCAAGATCTGTGACATTTTGCCTGTACTCACTCCTTTATGATCCTTCACTGTGGCCTTTTCAATCTAAGCTGGTTCTGCTGTGTTGGATGTGAACATGAGGACATGAGGCAGCTACAGCTTGGTATTATGCTTAGAGAATCAGTGTCAGTTTTCTGTGCTCTCTCCAGTAATGGCATGGAGGCAGAGGTGCTAATACATCAGCAGTCTAGGAGTCTCCTTAGTCTCGGCAGAGACCCAGACCACTGCACGTGAGCAAGCCCGAGCAAGATATGCTACCATTGCTGGAAGAAAGAAACCTTTTCCTTCCCATGGTGCTGAATGTCCAAGACTGTTCTTAGCCTTCATTCTTGCAGTTTAACTCATTTTTCTCCCTGGATAGTGTCAACCACTTTGTGAACTTCAGCTTTGTATACATATGGCAGCGAGGAAACGGCTGCACCCAGAGCAGAAGAATGCCAGGCACGGGGGCAACCTGAGCCTTCTTCCCAGCCCTCGCAGAGAGCTGAGAAGCTTTGCAGAATCAAAGTAAGCTGCCAGTGTCTCCCTGGACATGGTTTCTTTGGGCATTCCACCACTGTGGGTGTACTTCTTGACATCAGCATCCATTCTGTGACAGAACTATAAAGTAGTTTTCACTTCTTTCTACATTCACTTTCTCCTAGCTTCCTTCCTAAAGATAGAGATAGTGTCCAAGGAGGATTGTGCCATGTTGTGTCCCTGTTGCTTTGGCAAATAAAATAGATTCGATACATACATTCCATGCTGCCACACCCCATGAGCCAAACGTTTCATGGTCTAAACACCAACAAATGCTGCCCATCCCTGGATGGTGCCATTTCTTTGATCGTCTTTTGAGTCCAAAGGCCTCTCTTTTAAACAACTGGGCAGGGTGCATTGTGCCACTCATTACCTCCTGGACCTGGCTGAGCAGGCACCTTGTAGCCAGCACTGTGTGTATAGCCAAGAAACAGAAATGTCACTTCAGTGTTAGTAATGAGAGCCCACTGCTCACTTCTGCCCCCAAACTACTTCCTGACTCTGTTTATGCTGTTGTACACACATATCCTGTCTACAGAAAAAAATAAGCAAAATTCCAGCCTGAACAGGGAACTACAGGCATTACAAAACTTCTTTGCTTTTCTACAGCAGTTCCTTTACCACAGAGCTCCATGGAGAACTCAAGTTGTCAGTTTAAAAATTAAATTCCTTTGATCAGAGTTTGAGTCACTCATAGTATTTGATCTGTACAGCTACTTAGATCCCTCTACTTTATTTGATCATATTCAAAGATCATTTCCTGTGTGTTCACTTTGATTTGTTCCTCAATAAATTAAAATGATCCGAACCTTCACACTGCCATTTCTGACCTTTACTACAATCTCAAGAAAGTTGATTTTGATCAGCCTTTTGAAGATCAGTCTGTTCCCTAATTTATCATAGAATTTTGTGAGGCAAGTACTGAATTTGCCTTCTAGTTTTCACCAAACACCCTTTATAAAAGCTGTCCCTCTCTTAGTGTTGCAGCACTAGGGGTTTTCATACTGGTTTTGTATTTATTTCTGTACATAAGACTAAAACAAAACAAGGAGTGTTAAGGTCTTTGTTGTGGTTTGACATCATTGCTGCTTTGGTTTACAATGGTGAATGTAGGCTCTAATTACTCTATATTCTTTAGAAATGTGTTCAAGGAGGATTGTGTTGTGTTGTGTCCCTATTGCTTGTGGCAGAGAAGATGGATTCTATACATACACTCCATGCTGCCACAACCCATGAGCCAAATGTTTCTTGTTCTAAACACCAAGAAATGATGCTCCGTACCTGTTGGTACCATTTTTTGATCTTCCTTTTGAGTCCAAAGTCCTCTCCTTTATACAACTGGGCAGTGTCTTTAGAAAGCCGTGATTGAGTGTGCAATTATTTGAAAGAAGAATAGTAAATAAAGCTATGTGTAGTTTTTAAGGTATACATTCTGTCTGTGTCTTTCGTGCAATAACTAAATAATAAAGGAAAGCTATATTCATATTGGCAACTATTACAATTTAGTAATTCTCTTAACTCTGCTTTTATGGAAATTACTCCCTTTGACTTGGTATAATTTTAAGTTGTCTAATTCTCATAGCTTTTATCAGAATGACTTACTGGTATCTGAAACATGCTATGATAAAATCAAATTGTTCTACTTGTGAACCGTTTACTTAAAAATTGTTAATTGCTGATATATGGCACTGTCTTGGGCTTTGGTTAAAGCCTCTCTAGTTTAAGTGATAAATAACAACGCCAACAATTTTCAGAGCTGGAATTTTACTGGATTTGTAGCCTGCGGCCAGCCTTCAGCACCAGTGAGATGTAGACCATGTCACAACAAGGCACCAGCCGTGCTTCATGAGGACTGAAGTGCACTGAAGAAAAAGGAAAGATTTAGGACAATCAGTTGCTGAGAAACCACCTTAAGAGGGGAAACTTGAGGCATTTTTTTTTGAGTTACAGCAGAAGGAATCATTTCACTTCTTGTTCAGAATGGAAGCTAGCATGATCTCTAGAAGCATAAACTGTCCCTAGTTGTGAATGTCAGGAGCCCTTTAATTGTGTTGCATTCCAATAGTTTGTATTGAAATTTGATTCATATCTTGTGTGTTTTGGTGCATAAAAGGGAAAAACTGGTGTCTTGAAATTTGCAGGACAGAAGGCATGCTGTTAGTTTGTTGTAAGATGGTATTCTGTATATATGTTTTCATGTAAATAAATGAAAATCTATATCAGAGTTATATTTTAATTTTTATTCTAAATAAAGAAAAACCTTTTTACTTGAAAAAACCTTGTAAGCCACATTGTTAAATAAAGCAAAAATAAATTCCATGGTAGTGTTTGTGTCTTTGTGTTAAAAGCTATTAAGCAGACTTTTTAAGGGTTTGTATTAGGTTTATTTTATTTTGAAGTTCTGTTTTTGTGATGTACGAAGCAGCTGTTTTTAAGTTGTTGCCATCCAGGACTCTCAAATTACTGTGTGACCTGTTAAAGTTACCTCCCAGTTCTGGAATTTTCTGTCCATGGAACTTGCATTCATTCTATTTTACTGTTACAACATTACTAAGTATGCCCTCATGACTGCCTTTGGCTTTTCCAATTTCAGTCACTCTAGTTTGTTTACCATTACTTGATACTTTAGAAGAAAGATTTCTTTATTTCTATGAGAGTTTGTATGTAGTTAAAAACCACATTTACCTTGATCCTTTTTTCCTCTGTGTGTGTTGGGTGTCCCCGTTGGAAGAGGAGTGTCCTTCGCTGCCATGCCCATCACCAGGATCTTAGGGGCAGAACATGGCTCTTTTTCTCCCTGTCACCATCAGCCACATTACCTAGGACACAGCAAAGGTAACAGGGATAAAAAGGCACCAAGGAAATACAGGTGGAAGGGTGCGGAGTGATTTTCCCTTCCCTCAATCTCATAATAGATAGTATTAAGTATCTCATTTCACTTAAAATATATCCTTTTGCCTTACTGATGTTCAAGTTTTACAGATAGAAGTTTTTGCTCTGTGTTCATATGGAAGCTTTTTTAATAGTAAAAATAAAGCCTGCAAAAGCAAAATGGGATACATTTCTCATTTTCTCACCAGAAACAGGAGGATTGTGTGCCTGGATAAATATGATCATTGTGTTTCTATTTATATCTGAAAATCCTTGTGAACAAGAGAGTAGCAACTGACTATATAATAAAATATGATCAGGACCAGATCTTCAAATTGAATTAGTCAAGGCCAAAACAATTTTTACTAGTATCTCTGTTGCCACACATAAAACTTTTAAAAAATTTTCTTGTTATCTAAATAGACTTGTACAAATGTCAGTTCCCCAGGAGTTACTTCCCCTTTGTCCTGGGGTTTGTGCAGTGACTATTTTTAGTTCATAAAAGAGCATAATGCTTAGTTGAGCTTTAAAGACTACATTTACAAAATACTGTTTACGTGGGTATGACTTTAGAGATTCCATGTGAAGACTAATATTTCAGCAGTGAGATCAAAATAATAATAATAGTGATGATAATCTCTGCAGGTGGGCTGCAGAGAGTCACTAGGAGCAATTTCAATAAAAGACTTTCACGCAATCAGCCCAGGTCTAGTTTGCATCACAACCCATGTGTTGCAGCTCATTCTAAAGTAGACTGTTGGGGATCCTCTAGCTGATGGGTCTAAACAGTATTTCATACTGTAAATAGAAAACTTGCTTTGTCATTTTGAGGTCAGATTGGCACAAGACCACTGCCACCAAGCCTGCCAGTCTGGCCCCAGGTACAAATACGGCGCTGGGTTTAACTACTTGATCTGCTTGCTGAGCGTGTAACAGTTTTTTGTTTTGTCTTTCCTCTATAACAGTAACAAGTCCATGTTATGTTTGAGAGGATTAGATAGCAGGAAGTTCTATGACTACGAGTAGTATTACCACAGGAGGCAAGGCATTCCCTGCTCCACTAGGTACTACCAGCCCCTGGGCTCCTTATCACTGACCCACTGGGACATCTTGGCAGCCATTGCCATTGTCCTTTTCCCACTCATATCAATGGCAGTGTGGGCCACCGAGCCCCAACCCAATCAAACACTTATAAGATAGGTATCAGCCCCCTTTTTCTATTCAAGTGAAATATGTGGCCTCGAGTGCAGATCTGGCTTTTCCAGCCATTGACCACAGGGCCTAGTGACACAACTCCCGAGTGACAGCCCGGCAGTCTGCTGTGCCAACTTGGATCAGTGAGGGAGATGGGAAAGAACAGTGGGGCTCCTCTCTTTCTCCCTTGCAAAACTTATTCTGAAGAATGACATGTGCACTTGGATTTCCTGGAGACATCTCACTTGATAGAATCCACTTGTTTCCTTAAACCGAAGCCAGCTGTATAATAAGCCATCTTGTATTTGCTTCCCATCCTCCCTGCCTCAAGTTTTCTTTCCTTCATTTTTGTAGCCTTGGTATTTTATACCACAATATAGTATTACCACACAAGATTTGTCTCACACTCCTGATAAGATGATTCATCTCAAAGATTTTCTAGAAAATAGCCCACCAGGATGGGATTTTGGAATCATATTGCCCACTGAAGGTAATAGGGACACCTTCACTCTGGGTAACACATCTAGACACTTGGTGGCCTCACAGCCACTGATGTTTTTGTCTGTGGTTCATTGAAGTGAGGAACAGCATAAGGTAGGGCAGTGGGAGAGAACTTCTGGTTGGGACACATGACACTAAGGCAGATGGTGCAAGGTAATTGCATTTGACATCGTCAAAAAGGAGAATGGTAGGCTCACAGAAGCAATTTGTAATCTCAAGGGCCTCTAAGAAAATGTTCAATGGTACTATGCAACCACAAAAAGGCCCTTGGAAAACCAGGCCCAGGATCTGATTATAAGCATAACAGAGCTGAAAATAACAACCACAAAAGCATTCAATGTGCATGATTGACTGGTATTCTTGACAGCCAAGCTCTGATAAGGAAAGAATATGTGAAACTTCAGCTAGGTGATTGAATGTGTAAGTCAAGAATCTTGAATTAAAATTCCGCTAAAACTCCTAGTTGAAAGAAAACACCTTTCTCTGGGCAGAAGCACTTTCCAGGTCACCATGGACTAGCCTGGCTTTGCCTGACATTATTTTCAATGTGTGTATCCCTTTGAGCCACTGTCCCTTCCTCAGCAACCAAGTGTTGGCCTCGACCTAGCCTGATAAGGAAATACAAACTCTGATCTAAGAAGAGCAGCCCACACCAGAGGAATTCTACCATGTGGTGGCTGTGTACCGGTAAGCACTAAGAGGGTGGTGAGGGTGTTAGAACAAGCAGGACAGGGTGTGAGACTGTACAAGAATAATGACAACACTGAGCACTCACTTATGAGCTGGGTAGAATCCAGTATTCTTGTAGCAGCAACATGAAGCCAGCCTGCTGTTTATCTGAGATAGCCTACCGGAAACCAGAGGGTAATGCCAGAATCTCCGTAGAGTATTGAGGAAAAGGGCAAAGGCTGGAAATATGATGAATAGGCCAATGTGAATTAGACACTTCTTTTACGATAGTCAGGGGAACACAGTGTCATGGGAACACTGATCATCTTATTATCTGGCTGGTCACAGAGCTGATAGCATCAAGCCATTTTGTGAGCAGAAATCTTTACAAAACACATGCATGCCATAGGGTGGGAGGTAAGCACCAATTATATTTAGGGAACTGGCCCAGTAGCCCTCAAGCCCCTAAATTGTTTTCTACCTGTTACTTATAAAAGAGGTAGTGCTGGGTGGGACAATTTCAAGACAGCATAAACCTCATCCAGGCATAATGATTTAACTCATCCATTGGGTGGTTTCGAAAGCTGGGAGTCACTTGGGGCCAAGACAAAACATAGACTATCTGATGCAAGTTGTGTGGTCAAACCTACAACCCAGCATGACCAAAGCAGCTGGGTTTACCCACAGTGGGGAAAGACACTGTCTGGCATCTCTGATAAGCCTGGATAGAGCGGAGGAAAGACAGACTCCTGTGACTCTGAAATCAGCCCAAGATTTCTACAGGGAGGAAGAAAGCAAAAACAAACAAATGCAACACAAATTTTTTCTGTTTGAAATAACTCTGGTATGTCACGTATCTCAGAGATAATGAGTGCATTTCCTTGGGATACTAGGTGACTTCTCAATCACCTGATTTGTGTGCTGTATGATTTACCTTGTCCAAAAAAGCAGGGTTAAAAAAAGTCAAGAAATATATTGTATAATGGAAATTACACTTCAAGCACCAGATATGAATAAATCCATTAGTTGTGAATCTGTACTACTTGTTTCCAAGATACCAGTACCTATCCCTCTGTACACACCATGACTTCCTGAGAACATCTCTTCAGTCAACTGGCAGAAGGGCCAGTAAGATAGCTCAGTGGGCTGAATGCATACTTAGGCAAGCACAAGGACTGGGGTTTGATCCCTGGCACCACATGCTGCACAGCAGGTGCACTGAGCTGGCCACTGAGATCAGTGTGGTGGTGCATACCTGTAATCCCAGCAATGGGGAGGCTGGAAACAGGAGGATCACAATGAGTCCAAGCTGCGTAATGAAACCCTGTACCAAATACATTAAAAATTAAAAAATACAAAGGAAACCCTCAAAAAAAAAAAAAATAATGGAGGAACAAAGGGCTCAACTATGGTTGACAGATCACTCCATGTAATACATTGGCTGTAGCCAGCAACAGAGGTACAGCCTCACTCAGGAGTGACCCTGAAGGATAGCGGTGGGAAGAGCCATACACAGCAGCTTGTGAAGTCGTTCACTTCATGAAGACAGAGCTGACCTGGACTATAGAAATGCCTGACTTCTGTGCTCTGACAGATGGCTTGGTGGGTGATCTTGGATCCTGAAGTAAAGACTAGAAAATTAGGGACAAGAAGGTCTACGAAATATGAATGTGAGTCTGTGTACCTTCATGTGATGTTGACATTCACTACAGAGCCTCTGCTGCAGAGAGGTACTGAACAACACAGTGGCTGTGATGACCTGTTCCTAGAATGGTCACCCAGTAATGGAGAGTGATCACCATGGCATGAGGCTGTGAGGAGAAGGGGCACCAGGATGAGAATGGAAGTTAAACATGGGCCCAGCTGCATGCGTTCCTTCTCAACAAGGTTGATTTAGCCCCCTGCCACAGTTCAGCGTCCAGCCCTCCAGCCACAAGGACCTTATAGAGTCATTCTTTGCAGAAACCAGCCAGGTACCTTAGCAATTGTATTTTATTTTATTTTA